CCACCTCCTCCCCACCACCTCCCCCACCCACCCACCGACTGGCTCCAAGGCGGTAGACGCGAACATGTTCAGAAACTGATGGCACGGGTATGACCTGAAACGCAGTGAAAATCCCGGCGACGTAGATTGAAGCATAGAGGAGTTTCACGTGCTTGCCATAGGAGCCATACTCTTGTTGTCATTGAGTCGTTTTATCTGTTCCTCATCGCGCTATTCACGTACGAAGCTCAAGCGCACTTGTGTGCTCTGTTCACTAACACCACTGCTTGTCCTGTACCGAAGTACATACAAGAAGATTTGGCTGCCTGCGTGCCATCTCGTGCGTGTTGCACTGTATACCTCTATCCTGTGTAGGTATGTAATTCTGGGGTTTCTCCGTGGAGTGTTCCTGCCAGATGTATGTATAAATATAGCGGCTGATGTTCAGCCTTCCGCCTCTGCCCTGCTTCTTTCTTCATTCTCGGAAGCTTGTTAGTTAATCCGTGTATCCTAGACTGCTCTATTTCTGTGAAGCTGTATCGATTGTTGCTATACTCCGCCTCATCTTATCGTCACGGAAAAAGTAAGTATCCTACAGCGAAAGCGTTTTCCGTGATTTGCCCACCCCGCGATGGTGTACGGTCCGCAGACCGAGCAATCTCGATCCTATCCAAAATTGCAAGCCTCCATCTTGTTCGACGCCAGGCGCATGAGGACGGCGCGTGTCCATTTCACAATCCAAGAGAAAGGCCAGCGGCATAGCCAGGAGGTGACTATCGCGCCCCTTCGCGCATATTCCAATGTATTGTAACAAATCTTCTCTCACAGCTCCGACCTTTCGATCCCATGGTTCCCCAGCAGCCACCTCCCCAGCCCCAGCACCGCCTCGAACGCTTCCGCGCCCGTCGGCAGGATATGTTCCTTGGGGAGCAAGAATCCGTATGCGCCCATATCCCGCAACTTGATTTGGTAGGAGTATTTGACGCGGAGTTCGTGGTAGAAGTAGTCCAGTGCTGACCCGCCTGACGATTCCATGCTGCCACGTGGGAAGCGTGGTCGGGGTCCTTTCCGTGTTGGCTCATTTTCGTGGTTGTAGTCGATTGCAGTGCTGCCTTCGCAAGCACTATTCACAGAGTAGAATCGCCCGTTGGTCAGTCGGAAAGATTTGGCGAGCCCTATCGCCACTTCCTCCAGATCTTCGAGGTTGGGCGGGTCGGAGTCGCAGCTGAAGCTATACGGGTAGAGGACTTGTTGCGAGTAGGAGTGGAGGTCGAGGAATGAGACAAAGGTGACGTTGTTGTTCAAGGTCTGATTCTTCGCCCAATCGGCCAGCCTTTGCGATTCATACGCTTCGAATGGTTTAGAGCCCGCGAAGTCCTCGGCGCAAGGGTTGTCGATCTCGTCATGGCCGTCCCACGCGAAGGGAAAAGCGCGGTCGAGGTCGATGCCGGAGCAGAATGGGAGGGAGGTATGCTGTCGGTTCTTGCGCCAGAGGCGGTCGGTCGTCCAGGTGTACTCGTATCCGTCGGGGTTCATGGTGGGGATGAAGACGACGTCGAAGTGGTTGAGGAGTTTGGTGGTGTCGTGGAAGCGGGGGTCGCCGTAGCGGGTAACGAGGTTATAGGCGATGTAGGCGGCTGTTGAGACGGAGATCCATTCGCGGGCGTGGAGGCCTCCGGTCACGAGGATCGTCATTCTAGTAGGGTGCTCGTGGTCGGGCGGAAGGTCGACTCTAGCGCCCAAGCGGAGGGCTGGGATGTCTCTGCCTTCGGCGGACAGGCCTATGGACTCCAGTGTGACATGTGTTGGGAACATGGAGGCTAGTAACCGTAGCCATGGGTAGAGTACGGATAGTGGTTGATACTCGTTGAAGAATATGTCGTTGACCTCGACAGGCGATACTGCCTGGTCGTCGATGGGATGAAGTGGCCTTTCATTGTGGCTTGTCTCTGCCCCGGGATATGTATCGTATACTGCTTTGGCGAGGTCGTAGATCACTGGGGTGTACTTCTGACCCATCGATTGCGGGAGTAAACCGAGCAGAGACGTGACCACGCTGTTGGAGAGTCTGATGTCAACCCATTCGTTCGTGATGTCCCATACATCCAAGTACAAGACGTCTATCGCGTCAGATAAGGCCTCAATCTCTTCCTGTGTATCGAACTGGAACCGCAGCACAACATCGTCGCCATACCGGGTGCGGTAGTTAGTTGGAGCACGCGATCTGCCCCGACCATAGGGCTTCAACTTGCGCCCACACGGCGTACCCCATATCCCTTCTATTACAGCATCGCGCACGTATCGAAAAGGGCTGATTGATAGGTCGTGAATCTGCTGTAGGACGGGCGTGCGACTCGTGGGCTGATTCGAAGTTGGCACGCTCGAAACTAGTTGTGAGGCCAGCAGGACCACTAGCCAGGACAGCAGCTTCGCCATGATTGCGAGGCTGCCTCAGGCCATAGTCGGACGCTCTGGGGACCAGCGAGACTGGATGTGAAGTGATCGCGTGCACATGAAAGTGCTGAGAATTGATGGGCGTACCTGACGTCGAATGCGGCGCTAGAAACTTTATCCCAGAATATTTTGGGGATCCCCGCCGGCAGTTTTTGAGCGGTGCCTGTTTCTGTCCTACCCATCACATCGATGGGCAATCATATGGAGACCAGCGTGTTTCGTACAGGCTCGATGACTTGAGAGCCAGCGGGAAACGTGCGACGCAGTCGTCACCATGCGAAACCATGGTAAGTACGACCGTGGCGCATCGTTGCAATACAGTAGATCAACTTCACGGACCACATTCACTACGAATAATACTATTGCAATCACGAAAGGAACTTTAAAAAATGCGGAAACTTGGTCTGGATCTGGTGATTGATCTGTCTGAAATTCGAAGCAGCTGTCTGCGTCAACTTTTCTGGATGTCTTGGTAGCAGCTGCGGGAATGCCAAGCCAGCGTTTGTGCTAACTTGACCTTCAGATGCTGCAGGTCTATCGTGACGGTGGTCGTAAGTTGCAGGTCGAAGCGTGTGGATCGACCGGGTATGTTGTCGTGGGAAGTCGAGAGGACGAAGTATGCAGACCTTAGACCTTGTACTCCTCAAGACCGTGCTTCCAGACGGTAGCATAGGGCGTCATGCCGTCCTCACGGAAGTCGACCAGGACGTACATGGCGACCTCGCCCATTGACTCGCCCTTGTACACATCGTAGTTGTCCCAGTTGCCAAGAATCTTCTTCGCTGCGGCGGGAGCCTCGCTTTGGAACGCCTTGATCTCCTCCTCAGACTTGCCGGCTTCCCTCATCTTCTCGACGAGGGCCTTCATGTATTCTGGGAAGTTGTCAGCTGTGTGCGCTCCCTTCGGGTTGCTGATGCGTACTCTTGAGATCAGCCTGGTAGACTTTCTTGGAGACGCCCTCCATCTTCTGATATCTGAATTGATCGGCAAGATCGAGGACGGGCTCGCTGGCGCCTTCCTCACCACCCTCATCGGCATCTTCGCCCTCGGCTGACGGGTTGGCGCCCGCAAGGACTGGCAATAGTTAGACCCGTGTTCTTCTCCTTGGATTGCGCAGCGTACCGATGTTCTCAGCACCCTTCTTGATCATGCGGCCATCGACCTCCCACAGACCGTTGCCGGCGTCAATGATCTTTGACGTATCGGCGATGATCTCGTCACCAGTGAGAAGATCCTGTTGCGATCATTAGTCGTGGTCCGAACAATGCCTGGCGGGGTGGCTGGAGGGGCACTTCGATGCCATGAACCCATGAGTCTTGACGTACCCTGTAGATGATCATGATCGCGGTTTGTGGAAGAGAATGTGGGGAGTGTCGGAGGGTTTATTAAGGTGTAGAGTGGTAGTGAAGCAACGTAGCAGTCGACAACCAGAAAAAAAAGAACAAGTTGCAGTCGTTTCGCGCAGGAGAAATCTAGTGTGGGGTTGCCTGGTCTCGACCTTCGCTGATAGAGACTCTTAACTCCGACGCTTTGTCATTTACACGTGACCATTGCTCGAGGTCGGGCCCTTCGGAAGGCCTAAGAATTTAGGGCTGAAATTGGTCCCTGAGTTCCCAAATTCACGCATCATCCAATTAATGGGAACACATCACCACTGCCTGCTCTCCTTTCACTTCGCCACCAACTTTGCTGTCCTACGCTCCTTTACACTCTTCAGCTTTTGTTCGAACCACCAACCCTTTGTTTCGCAGCGACTACCAACTGTTCCTCAAGTCCCGCCACCTCGCACTCCTTCGGCCTTCGCCACAGTCCTCCAACGGAAGTATCCTCTGACCTTGACGCGAAACAAGAGTCCGAAGACTTGAGTACAACCTCGACCTGAGACCAGTGCTGTGCTTCAAGCCTCAGCAATGGCGACCAACGCCACGGCAGGCGTGATGTTGCCAACGTTCAATATGCCGGCCCTCCCAGAATACACTCTGAAAGTCCGACCTGCGATCGTTGCGGGACTTCCAGACGCCTTGTCACAGATGCTCATGCTGATTTTCGCATACTGGGCCACCTCTGCTGTCTTCCATGTATTCGATGTCTACGACCTCTTTCCACAGTACCGACTGCATACCCCAGCCGAGATCACAAAACGGAACAAAGTCACACGGTACGAAGTCTTCCGCGATGTCATAGTACAGCAAGTCGTCCAGACACTCTTCGGAGTGGCCATCGCCTGGTGGGATCCGCCCGAGATGATGGGAAAGGAGCAGTACGATATCGCTGTCTGGGCCTTGCGCCTGCGAGTTGCTCAGTCATACCTTCCCACGGCCCTAAGAGTCATCGGCGTGGATTCTGTCCAGCTCGCTACAAAATCGTACCAGCATCATCCTACCGTGGCTGCCGTCCTCGCAGGAGGTGCATACCAATCACCGGGATTCGCTTCGTGGGAGCTTCAGGCTGGGTGGCTGATCTACCATGTCCTCGTACCCTTCCTCCAATTCTCTATCGCCATCGTTCTGGTCGATACCTGGCAATACTTTGTCCATCGGGCCATGCACATGAACAAGTTTCTTTATACCTGGCTACATGCCCGACACCACCGCCTGTATGTCCCATACGCGTACGGAGCTTTGTACAACCATCCAGTCGAAGGCTTCATCCTCGACACCGTTGGCACTGGCTCTGCATACCTACTGACCGGCATGACTGTACGCCAGGGTATGGCCTTCTTCACTGCGGCCACAATCAAGACTGTCGACGATCATTGCGGCTACCACTTTCCATGGGACCCTCTACAGCACCTGACTGGCAACAATGCTGCCTACCACGACATTCACCACCAGAGCTGGGGCATCAAGACCAACTTTTCCCAGCCGTTCGGAACATTCTGGGATCGCTTTCTAGGCACAAAGTGGACTGGTGGCGATGTTTCAAGCAGGTACGAGCGTGACAGGATTGCCGCACAAAAGAAGGTAGACGCCGACGCCGCGAATGCTCCATCTACCGTGACGAACTCGCCCGCGGTAGATCTGGACAAGGCTCAAAAGCAAGCTCAAGAAAGCCGACAGCAAGTTCTGGATGACCCAAAAGTCGATGGCAGAATCGTGATTGCAGAAGAAGCGCGAGAAGAGAAAGAGGTTAAGCAACAAACGCCACGACGCTCCACTAGACGAAGTGTTAGTGGCTTCGATCCGAAAGCCATATCTGATCGTATGGCAGGCAGTCTGCATGGTCGCAGCACAGCTATTCTGCATGCTGACGGACTGCGGTGATTTTTCTTCAGCCAAATGTGTACATTAACGAATTTTTGGATCCGGTACAGCAACTACGGATCACGGCGTTTCGGAATGACTGAACGAAGTCTTCGACAAAGAATGCTTTATACAGCAGCGTGCCTATAGTCGACATTAATCATTCAATTCTGCACATCGCCTTTCTCCTTTGCTCCCACTAGATCATGCCTTGCCCGTCACGGTCAAGGCTAGATCTGATCATTGCCAGATACCACAATTTCCTTGTCCTTCCTTTATGTCTCTTTCATGTCATTCCATTGTCTACTGCCAGGCAACACTGCCTCGTCGAGGTCCTTTAAGTGGCTCGAACCGAGTCTACGGTACCAGTTGCTTCTGTTCTACCACTGCCCAGTTGCCTTGTTGGATTGCTTACAGATCCGATTATTTGCACACACAGATAGTAAGTACTCTCCACACAAAGCAAACAGCAAAGATGCGGCTAATCTGGCTAAGTCCTCGAGACCAGCAGGCGCTGGCCGAGATCCTGTTCCTCAATCCGAGCAAGGTTGAGAGCCCCATCGAGTTCAACGACCGCATAACTAAGCTGATCGAAGCGTTGCCCAATCGCCTCAAGCAGCCTAGCTTCTTTCGCCGTCTACTGGCCTCGACTACTGACAGACTTCCGACCTCACGCCGGAAACGCTCTGAGCGTCGCCGTTGGCCACGTCTGTGCCCGATCCACAAAGGCCTCAATGCTTCATTGGTTCACCAGCTTTTCATTCTGGTTGGACTTGAGGTCGGACATCTCAAACGCACTTGTCTACAACATCTCGACGATCTAAAGCCTGAACAGGCGGCCTTGATGAAGCGTCTGTACCGGCTAAGCGCGCTGTGGATGACGCCTGAGATGTACAAGGAGGCGTGGCATGAACCGGCCTCCGAGTCGATATGGACGCACCTGGGCAACGATTGCACAGCGTGCACATTGAGCATTTTAGCCGGGAATCTGGAGACCATCCTGGATTTGTTGAGCGCAGTGGTCAGTCGATGTCACGACAGCGAAGAGAGAAGCAAGCCGAGATTGTATTCATGGTTAAGAGCGTGGCTGCGAGTACACTCACCGAATTGGATTGGTCCAGTGCGGCGAGGGCGGTTCAACAAGATGGCGCCCGAGGCGGAGAGACGGGGAAGCGACTTCAAAGAGTGGCGACGACGTCGTCGGCGTCGTAGTCGGGACCTGAAGGCGGAGGAGTGTCTGATGGTGGCTGATGAGCAACAGCAACCTGCTCTTACTACGTTGCCTCGCGCTCAGGATTCCGACCCAGTCGACGAGAGCCACGCACACAACGAAGCCCCGGATCTCTCCCGGCAGCAATCCAACACCAGCTACAGCAGCAATACCAGCACGTCTAGCGACGAGAGCTTCGAAAGTATCAGCGACCTCGAGACTGTCGACCTCACCGCCTCGATTCGCAGCACCGCTTTCCCGCCCGATGTGAGCAATCGCCATAGCCAACAGGAACAGCAGCAGTACGAGCCACCTCGTGCGAACTGGGCAGCCAAGCCTCCCTTCACGGGCAGCTCCGCTACCGCTGCACAACATCTCCGCACAGTAACAGCACCTTCGGGACCCTTCAATGGCTATGCTAATGCTGAAGGCGAGCAAGAACCGGCAGCGGCATCTCAACCACCTCCTCGACCTCCACCACCAGAGCGCAAACGCACCGCCGATGAAGCCGCACTGTCTTACGCAAACATCCTGGACCATGCGAATCCGTTCGCGGAGAGTAATTTCACGGTCGTCCCAGCCAAAAGCTCGCCACCAGAGCCGATGACAGCACGTATGGCGCCTCCACGTCCCTCCACCAACGGTCGAAGTCAAAGCGAAAGTCACGACTCCGGCTACGAATCCGACGCCTGGACTGACGCCAAGCCACCCAGTAGTGTCAGCACAATGATGGGGTATAGGGTCGGGTCCTGGCTACAGAACGTGGACTCCTCGTCGGTGATTGAGCAGTTCGCAGATGACGCTGGTGAGCTACGACGGCAGCAGCAGCAGCAACAGAGGTTTGTGCTCAACGATGCACCGTTTGTGCCGCCGACGAGAAATCCTTCGCGAGTAAAGCCATCAGCAGAGGGCGGTGATCTGCCACTGCGACGACATGGTAGTTCGGACACCGCTAGGAGATCCGTGGACCACACACTACCACAACAGCTTGCTCATCCTCCTCTATCACAACTCCCACCATCCCAACAATGGGCCAACCTGACACGCTCCGCCACCACTCCATCTTTACCGACTGCTGACCAGCGTTCCACCACGAGCACGACGACAACATCAAGGACACCCCACCGTCGCCCTTCTTCTCGACAAGTAGCGGACGATCTTCCACGCCCTCGTCCGACCGAGCATCCTCTAATTCGGGCAAATCGCCACCTTCCGCCACCGCACGCTAGCGGACCTGACACACGGGTGCCTTCGGTGCCGGTGCTTGCCGAGCGTCCTAGGGATACCGTGTCGTCTGTGTCAGCCTCGAGCACAAACGACGAGCGTGAGATCCACCCAGCGTTACGAACACGTCAGCACCAGCGGACTCTCGCACAGCTCGTGGGCAACTACGACCCCAACAGCGGCAGCGACCAGACGCAGTGGTCAACCCACTGGCGCGACGAAGTTGAGAACCGGCCAGGCAACGAGTTCTACAGGGCACGCATGGAACGGGAGAGGAGGGAGAGGGCTGGTGTCAGGGGGCTACGACGTTCGTCTGTTGTAGCGCCTTATGGCAGATTGGACAGCGAGTAGGTCTGGAGTAGTGAATGAAGAATATAATATGACCCGAGCGCAAAATGATCATCGCTTCTGAAGCGCTTTACTCTCAACCTGTATTCGTTCCCTTGTATGCCTGTAGCATGCAGATGCACTGCTACAACATGAACCCACAATAGGTCGTCTCGCATTGTACCACATCCCTTACCCCGACTCATTGAGTCGCTAGAGGCGGGTAGTCATCCGGTCTCCCCCGATGGCCCCCCTGAATTCACTCGAGCGGCGCACGAAGCTTATTCGAACATACGCCAAAGTGGGCCACGCTGGGCAAGTCAGCAGTCCTCCATGGCTTTGTCCTGCTTCATCATGCATTTTCCACATCCTCAAGTTCCATCGCCGGAAACAGTTCACGAGCGCGCGAGCTTCGACCACTTCCGGACAGATGAGCCAATGACAATGACAACCGCTGACAAACACCGTCGCACTGCCAGGCATCAAATTCGGAGGGTTTTGACAAAACTTTATGTCTACCACACTATACTAGGTGCTCGCCCGTCGTGAACGGACGAATCTCTGAATATCGATTGGTTCACCTTGTCACCCCTTCATGGCCTCCACTATGCATCCTGCTTGCCAGTTCGGATGGTTTAGATGATCTTCGAGCGAATCTTGCCAGGCATGGCAATTTAGGCGGTCTTGCGGGCGGCTGCTATGGGACGATGACACGAGTTGAGTAAAGGATGGCGCGATGCCTCGAGGCTAATGTGTGTCGCTCTGCTTGGCTGGAGTATATAAGGTAGGCTGGCTGAATATGTTTGGAGCGATGAAGAGAGGATATAGAGGATCCAGAAGAAATTCTGATTATTGGCTTTGTTCACACGAAGTTAATAGATCACCTCGCCGATTCGTACGGGGCCTGAGCTATTTCAATACCGCAAACAGGACACTCGACCGCAAACGAGTACAGCCAGTGCCGTTAAGCAACGCAAAACAGTCACTTCATCGAATTGCCAGACCCAATTCACAACCAAACCCACGCTAACAACCACAACCATGGCCCAGCCTACCCCAATTCGAATCCTCATTACCCTCGCCACAGGGACCCAATCCTCCTCCCTAATCCGCGCCCTCTCCCGACACGCTCTCACCACCCACACCCCAATCACAATCCACGCCACCACCCGCACCCCATCCTCCCAACTCGCCCAAGACCTCCAATCCACCAACACCAACGCCTTCACCACCATCCACCTCTTCCAAACCGACCTCTCCGACCCCGTCACCCTCATCGCCCCCACAACGAACGTCACCCACGCATTTCTAAACGTCACACCCGTCCTCACCGACGTCACACTGGAGGCCAAGCATGCGAAGAACGTCCTCGCGGCGCTAGCAGCCCACGCCAGCTCAACCCTGCAGCGGATAGTATACACATCCGCCTCCTCGGTACGCGACCCCGCTGTGCCGGGGAATTACAACGGCCTCGACCAGCATCCGTGGATGAAAGCTTATTACGAGTCGAAATTCGGGATTGAGGAGGCGGTGATTGACCTCGCTACGAATACTCTAGCGGGAAAGGGGGTGGACTGGACGGTGCTGCAGCCGGGGACCTTCTTGAGTAATTTGCTCCCACCCGTGTCGAAGTTCATGTATCCGGGTATCGCAAAGAAGGATGGGGCGGAGGAGGAGCGGCATGTTGTGACGACGGCGCTCGTGCCGGATTTTAAGAGTGATTGGGTTGATCCGGAGTGTATTGGGTCTTTCGCACTCAACGCGCTGTTGTTGCCGGACGGGGACGAGCGGTATGGGGAGTATTATAGGGGGAAGAGGGTGAAGATTGCGGCTTGGCCGTTGACCATGAGAGAAGTGGTGCAGTCGCTGAACGAATACCTGGCTAGTGAAGCGCGCCCAGAAGGGGTGCCAGAGGGGACGAAGGTGAAGGTGCGGAATTTGAGTAAGGAGGAAGTGGAGCGGGAGGTCGAGAAGGGGGATGTGCTGACAGCGAGTCGGCTGTTCCAGAATGAGAATCGGGGTGTGTTTGGTGGGGAGTGGATGGAGGGGATTGGGGAGAGGTATGGGGTTGAGATGGGCAATTTGGAGAGGTTTTGGCTTAGGGAGGGAAGAGCGGGGAGGGTTGCGGAGGGGTTGGGGTACTGAGTATCTGAGTCCGACGCCAGCTCGGCATTAAATAAAGAGCATTTGTTTGATGCAGAGCTGGTCTGCGGAAAGCCCAACCTTGGAGGCAAATGCTGACGGGGAGGACTCTACGTCGCCAGTGCGGATTGAATGTTCAAATGCATATTCTGTTGTTGGCGCCTTTCATGAGTCTCATCTCGAGCTCATTGCATTCTCAGCAAGCCACATTCAGCATGTCGTCAGGTGGCCTCTGTCTTTGGTTTGACGGACGACTCACGCAGACGGGTCTCCCTTGCTGCCTCATCCATCTCACGGCGGCGCTTTATGTAGGCTTCCTGCTCTTGTTCTCTGGCCCGATTCTGACTGTTGCGCATTCGATACTCAGATAGAAGCCTCTCCATTATGCCCGCAGGATCCTCCCACCCTTTCATGCTCCTTCCAGATGCCAACTCGAAATACATTTTCAGATGATGAGGGTGCTCGCAGACATTCATCAAGCTGTCCATTGGCAGTGCCCGATTGCCGTAGACAAGAATCAGTCGGCTTCTAGAATGATCCAATGCAGACGTATCGAACCATGGACTGAGTGCATATTCTGCAGTCAAAAGTTGCAGGGCAACAGCAGGGCCAGCAGCCTCTTCTTTCTCGAGGACGCGTTGAAGGTCCAGAAATGTGGTCTGAGAAGGCCAGCGGAGTATGTCGGCTAGAGCTAGCAGGAGTTCGACCGCCCAGGTGGACTCTGACATGGTTTTGGTGACATAATAAGCAATTTGGCTCGTTGACGAAATTTGCGCTCCGGATTTGACATATAGGTCCTTGTTGGAGCAGACGGTATGCAAAGTCAGGTAGCGTGGCTCCTGTTGGCGATGACGAAGGGCAATAAGGATGTCAAAGGTCTCCTCGCTAACAGCGATCGGATATCCGTTGAGCCAGATAGCCTTCTGGCGTGGCTCTTTATCCCGATCAATGACAGCGACATGCCCTGGGAGGGACTTCACAGACATGGAGGAAATCGAACACCGGGGTGGCAGCATTTCGTTAAGACTGGGGTGCAATCGTATGATCTTGACTGGTTCATGATCCGGCGATCCCAAAGCGAAGGATGCCCACGACTGTGCATCAAATTCTGCGTAGTGATATGGTGTGCGAAGTACATCACAGACAGTGGTCGGGGAGCGCGCCGACATTCTGGCTAGAATTGGACGCAGTGCGTCAGGGATGACTGTCGTGAGTTGCTGCGCCGACATTTTGGCAAGGACCGGATAAAGTGCGTCTGGAATGACTGTTGTGAGTTGCTGCGCGTATCGATTGTCCAGTCGCAAGTCTGTATTGACAGTTGCGTCTCTCGTCGCCATGTCTGCGGCACGTTTCCAGTCTGAAAGAGCGCGGGACGACGCGAAGATGAAATCATCGATGAGACGCTGTACTCCAGATCTTCGGGCATCTGCATCGATCTCGTGAGCATAGATAGTGTGCAATGGCCACAGATCCCATGCATAAGATCTCAGCGAACGAGCTGGTGGGATTTGATTCCGTGGCGCAAGCAACGCTCCGCGAAGCCAGCAAAGGAGCGCTACACAGCAACTCGCAATGAACGCATGAGATTCCGAATTAGAGAGATTGAAGCGCTGTGTGAGAGTTACCGACATATTGTCGAGGAGATACTCTTTCACCGAGAAATGAGAAAAGACGACAATGTACTGGTCTGTCTCATCCCAAGGTATCAGTGCGATGAGATTAGGGAGCAATGCAAGGACTTCGTCCTGACTCAAATGATCCTCTGCGTCGTAAACTCTACGGCTCGATGGTACGATGGCGCAGACATCCCCAAGCTCCTCCATCGACAACGGTCGTTCTGAGTATGCCAGCCACGTGAGGGCCGCGCGAGCGCGATACTCGTTGTCGCTATCGATTTCGTTGAGAATAGCGGAGTACGTCTTGACGATGGTGGTCGGCAATTGCCCCAGGACAGCAACTGCATTTCGACGTAGCAGGACGCCTTTATCAAGAAGCCGCTCCAATTGAAGGAAAGCATATCGGAACATTGTCTGCCCATCGCCCGCCAGCTTCTCGAAGATCAGATTCTGCAAAGTGGGATCAATATTGGCCAGTGCTGCTTCCTTTGCCATACGATTCTTGACGTAGACTTTGATGTCGGCGCGGACCATTTCAGTAGGCATTGGCTCGTGATGCCAGAGCTCGATTGGTAGGATTGATTCGAGTTGAGCTGGACGAGCCGTTATCATGACTTGTAGACCTGGCGTTCGGTTGGTGGCCAGGAAATTCAGAAATTCTACCATCTTACGTCGGTCGGACTCCACGATCTCATCAAGGCCGTCAATCAGGATGTAATGGGGAGCCCAAGCTCGATCATCGGATAGAGTTCTGTCGATTATTTCCTCGAGCTCGCTGCCATTATCTGGGGGTGTAGGAGGAAACATCATACGATGAGACTCGTATAGCATCTTCAAGCTGGCAGGTAGCTGTATGGGAGGACATAGGCTTGCTACAATGAAGCGCAACAGCCCGTTGAGACTCTGGTTTTGAAGAATGATTGCAGAGAAGTAAAAGGCAGTCATGCGCGCCTTCTTTGCTTCCAGTGCCTCAACAATAGCTCTGTTGAGGGTGGTCTTGCCGCACCCAACACCGCCGTGCAGGAAGATAAAGGGTGTCGTACCGTCAAGCCAAGCTCCGAACAACCGGCCATTCAGGAACCATCCGTTCGTCTCGGGATCTCTGTCAGCTATTGGCGGTCGTTTATTTTGTGGCGGATTCAGCCAGGTAAGCACGTTGCGCCGTTCTTTCTCGATCTTCGCGTCTGCGGCTGTCCTGCGACGATTCATGAGACTGGATACACACATGGCGTGATGCATGCGATATCACTTACTCGAGGAGGCCTTCGACGTCGCGATCGATAGATTCCACGGCTGACTGGACTTTCGACGGTCAGATCATATTGACCATGAATATATTTAGGGGCTACTGACTGTTCTTGATTGTCTCCCCGATCCCCAGGGCGGCCTTCACGTTATCGACCGCAACGTATGTAAGGAGCTCTTTGGCATAAGCAGCAGCTGAAGCAGCAGCGTATCTTTGCCACTTGTCGTTCTTCGTCTCGTTCGCATAGTCGCAGATACCCCGGATCACAAGGCAGGGAAAGTTGTTCATCAGACCACCAGCCTCCATCTCGATGCATTTCGCATGAATGTTGTTTCGCTCGAGCCAGTCTGTCAGGCCCTTTCGATATCCATCGTCCTTGAGAAGGACGTTTCCACTTGCGATGGTACCGTAGTGCACCGCTGGCAGTTTTCGAGTAGAGTCTATGCGATGTGGATCTTTCCATTTAGCGTCCTCCCGGAAACGATATTTCTTTGCCATTCTTGGATTGCGTTTGAAGACCTCCAGATATGCTAGAAAGCCGGGCTGCTTCCTCTCATGCTTCGACCGCAGGTTGGAAAGCGCAGCTAGAAGATGCAGAGGAGGAGCGTTGACGAAGCCTTTCGGTTTCCGCTCCTGTGCGCCATCTGTCTGAACTGTGGCTTTGTACAAATCATGCTGGATGATTCCGCCATTTCGATCATCAGGATCACTCACCACGACATCGCCCAGTAGTATCTTCTTCGAGTCTTTGAGCTTGCTCGCCTCCGCTTCGTCTTGCAAACCACCTGCGATGCCTACTAGCAGTCCGCTGCGAAGATGTGGGAGAGAGGCCAATAGACCGCCAGCCACGTGTGCAGCGGAGACAAGACCGTACAGTCCGGAAGGCAACGAGGCAATCACAACGTTGTGTTCTCCATATCTGCCCCAGCTGTAGCTGTTCTGGTCACGAGAATGCTGATAGAAACCTTTCGGCTTCTCGTGTTCCTCATCCATGAGCTCTTCTGCCGCAGCTCTCTCATGTGCCAGAGCAGCAATCCAGGCGATGGTGTACTCTGATACGTCAATGATAATCTTGGGTCTTTCTCTTGCGGGTTCGTCGTCGGCCATACTGGCTAAAGTAGTGACGCTGGCTCCAAGTTGGTGTCAAGCAGCTCTCACACTGATGAGAGCAGAGTCGGAGAAGACTCTCAGGCTGATGCAAGCGAAGATGAAAGATGCCTTCAAGCTAGTGCGAGAAGAGTTGAAGGTTGTGCTCAGGATGATGCGAGAAGAGTTGAAGGCAATTGTCAGCACGTTGAGAGGAGTGTTGGAAGAGAGTCTTGCGGCAAGCTGTAAGAGACATCCTTTGACCAGCAAACACCACCAGGCGGCCTCCAACGCCGGAAATGCGCATCAATCATACGATCTCGTGGAGTGTCTCGATTTGTTTCCGACACGTGCCACTGCACCATTCGCCGGATTAAGCATATGTCGCGTCCCGACGCGTGTGCGAAAACAACTAGCCATGCTGCTACCCGTATGCAATGTGCAAAGGAGCCATACATACGATCTTAGCAAACGAATCGTTTTAGTGCCGGCGTGTTGAAGCAGCGTGTAAGGAACTGAGCCGACACTCATGTACTCAAGTGGTTTCTTCGTCACTCTGGAAGTTCGATGGTGGCATGGACGACTCTCAGAGACGTCAAGTCTGCGACAAGGGCATCTCCTCTCACCACTTCTCCCTGCGTGTGATGCGTACACGAATGTCTTCTGATGGCTGCATCGCCCCTGTGCCAGGTACGGCTGTAGGCATCTTCCACTCCCCACTGGCAGGCGAAATGTCCCAGACTGCCATGATAGCCGCGCACAACGTAATGATCTCTTTCTCTGCGAATGTGCGGCCCTTACAAATCCCGCTGCCAGCACCCCAAGGCTTCAGCTTCCCATACCGAGCAGACCGCTTGCCCGATATCTCGTCTGTGTCTAGGAAACGATCTGGCTTAAAAGTTTCTGGGTCCGGGTACATTGTGGGGTCGTGCTGATGAAGGCCATGAGGAGTGCTAAGGAATGTTCCTGGCTGGATCGCGTGCGTGTAGGCGCCGTCTTTGAGGTTGATTGGCTTGCTGATGTAGCGAATTGATGTGGCGTCGTTGGCAAGTCGATATACCTCGAAGAGGCATGACTTCGTAAGCGGGCATTCGCGTGTGAGACCTGCTATGTCCATTGTCGAGATTGTCGGTATGTTCGTGTCCTTGGTGAATGTTACATAGGGCGCCTGCTCTTCACGCAGCAGCTCTTGGAGACCAGGTATAGAGTATGCGTACGCTAGAAACCAGAACACCATCGGCTGTGTATTTGCGTTAGATCCCCACAGCAGGCCGATGTCCGATTGCCCTCGCTCCGCCATGGTATAACCTTCCTTGATATACAACTCGCTTCTGCCTTTGACTGTAGCGCTGACGTCTGACATGTCCGCACCGAAGTCAACGGCTGCTCCTGACATATACTGCTCTGTTCGCTGGTAAACGCCTTCTAGGGCTTTGTGCAGTCGAGAGCGAGCTGCGACACCCTTTCGCATGACGCTGAGAGGTGCCCACGATGGAATACCAAGGACTAGCGGAATGAAAACCTCGTTGTCGAATCTCCAGAAGTCTTCGAGCAAGCCAGGGTTACGTTGGAGGAAGTCTTTCCCGTATACAATATCGACTGCTAGACACGTACCGAAGTCTCGGGCTAGGTGCAAGAGGTTAGCCTCAACGATACCTTTAGAATCGCTTGTTTCCGGAGCGACAACGTGAACATTTGCTGAGCATTCCCAGCGCTTCTGTTTGGTTGGATCAGATGAGAACGATACGAGTGAGGCAGCCAGGCGAGGAATGTTGCTCTTTTCCAGGACTCCAGTCGCGGCAGCTTCATTCAAGAAGACGCGCTCCACGTGTCTGTTGAGCAAATCCCAACAGGCAAATCGCTTTTCATTAGACGCGTACGAGTCCTTTGCCCCAAAGACTTGTGTCATCATGGTGGCCTGGTGCACTTGTGAGGAGACAGTATGGCTTGGCATTGAGAGCAGGCGATCGCCTTCGGGCAGGTCAATGACAACCTGATGCTTGGCCGTAACTCCGTACAGCGAACCCGCCCGGCGTCTGATGGAGGAACTGGCACCAATTAGTATCCGCGCTCTCACCGCAGTGTGCACTTACAGGAGCCGTAAAGGTAAGCCATTGTGCTTCGCCATCATCGAGACCAGGGCGATCTCCAGGGTAGCCCATGTTGGCAGCTTCGCACCAGCGTCGCCGGCTTTGACGGTGAATAATGCTCGGTAGGCGAGCCAGGTGACTCCGAGAAGGACCGATGACAGCAAGAGGCTGGACCCTGAGACGAGCATCTCAAACTTTCAATGCCTGACAGGTGTGTAAATGCTTCTTGCAAGCTGGCAGTACGTTCTGGCGAGAGCGCTGCAAATGGACAGATTCAGGCACACGTAGGATGCTGTTACTCACCAGCGAAAGCAACAAATCTATGATCACCCCAGAGAGAGGGCAGAGGTCAGGCCGCCAGGATTCCTTCCCCACTGGGCAAGGCCCCACAACGCAGATCTCCGGTACGTCGTCGACACGGAGGCGGCGAGCTCGGACGAGACATCGTACTTTAGGGAGGTGTCTTCCATCATGGCAACGCGATTGTGCAGCAACGATCCTGGGGGAGCGACTGCCAGAGATTCAAGCTCGGTGATAGTTACACGAAGGGAAAGAGCGATGAAAACCTGAGAGGTGCCAAGACATGCCAAGCGTTACCCTATCTTCTAAGGTGGCTTTGGTTCTTTTGAAGCTCCTCTACTATACACGGCCGTGACTGACTTACACAAACGTGCGATGTTCCAAATCTGCCATGTCGACAGGTCGCAGCAGGGCATGCTTGGGAAAGTTCAAGCCCATTGCTGACCAGAAAGCTGGTCGCTGCTCAATTGTGCCACGCACTGCTAGTCATCCAAAAACTAGGAAACCAAGAGCCGCCCGACTCCCCGTAGCTTCCTAGTTCGATGCTTATGTTTGCAAATCCGACAGAAAGTCCTGGAGATGAGAACGCGGCAGCCGTTTGCGGATACACGAGACCTGGCAACAATGCTGTCCCACGGGACAAGCATGTTCTTTGTTCTTCAGAGACTCTTTGTTCGCAAACTCGTCCTGCCGAAGCGCATGAGCAGCAGCATTATGAGCTGCGCGAGATTTCTTGCCATGAGGTGACCTCGACTGACAGCAAAATATAGGTTGTCCTGACCATACGACCCCGTCGTAGACCGGTCACCGCTCGAGCATGCTAATCATCAAATATTTTGTCCTTACTTAGATCCTTTCCTGCACAGCCCACCCACCTAAACATGCCACCCGGCCGCAATCACCCCTCCCGACACGAATCACCCAACTTCACCCCAAACGTCCCACCACCAACGAACAACGGCAGCCTCTGGGAGTACCCCTCCATCGAGCCCAGGTCTAGAATCAACAAAGGCCTTCTCTTTCGCCTGCCATTCGATGCCAAGAAAGTTCAAGATGGCGCCGGCGGCGATCACAAAGTGCCTCGTGGCTGGCTCCAAGCACTGAAATTCCTACGAAGCGACCATGGCATCGACAACCCAGCTTACTATGCCTTGGCAGCGAACGCGGAATGGCATGCAGTGACTCAACTTGGCACTGGTGGGTTCGGGCGCGTCGGTTTGTGGGCTCTTTCCCGTGATGATCCGGCTAGCTCCAAAGCTGGCGCCGACAAAGGCCTCGGTGGTGAGCCTATAGATGAGATCGTAATCAAGCAACAGGAGCTCAAACCCTGGAATCGCGAACGCGGCAAGGACGGGACTGGGAAGCACAAGTACGGCGACTACGCTGGCCTCGGCATACACTGGGAGGCAATGATCGGCGAAGGGCTGCAGCACAAAGAAGCTCAAGAACTGCTGCAAAGGGCACGGAGAAGAGCAGCGCGTCGATTTCTGGACCGGCTACTCGAGAGAAGTTTGTTTTATACGGACGAAGACACACACATTGCACGTATACGACGATACCGGTACAACAAAGAGGCCAAGCTGTGTAGACTGTACCTGGAGTACTGCCCACACGGAACACTCGGTGATCTCGTCCGAGACTACAAAGCCTGGGGCCAGATGCTACCCCTTGGCTTCGTATGGCACCTCCTGCTTTCCCTCGCTCTCGCCCTCCGCGCGCTTTCCGGCCGCCTTCCCGCCGATGCCTTCCTGTGGCACTGCCGCAACCTCCGCGACGAACCCGACTGGCCGTCCCCTCCTTCGCATCACTGGCTCCTGCATTACGACATCAAGCATGCGAACATCCTGCTCTCTTACTCCGGCATCGAGCACGACGAAGCCGACTCCATTCCTAAAACCCGAAGATTCAGCAGACTCCTCGACCCTACCCGAGGCTACCCCTCCGTCAAACTCGGAGATTTCGGCGTCGCCACGTACACCAGCGACGCTGACACGTTCAATCCTCCCATGCGCGGCGGCAGCGGCACACTATGCAATTATCCGCCGGAGCAGAGGAAAGACCGGTGGCAGAAGTTTCGAGACCCACCCAATTTCAACGGCGCGCAGTGGACGGAGAAGCACATGGTGTGGCAAGTTGGGAAAGTTGTGCTGGATAGTATCATGGGTTGGAGTGAGAACCACATTGACGAGGAGCTCAATCCAGACCTTGGGCCGATAAATGAGGCAGAATATGAGAGGTTGGGATGTCATTTCTTGGATGTGGAGAAGGAGTTCGACATGAAAAAGTTCAAAGAGCTTAGGAAGTATGATTCGTTGATCGATCTGTGTATGCGGTGTTTGCGGCCAAAGATCGACGAGCGGCCGGGGGTGGAGGAGCTGGTGGATTTGGCGAGGGAGGGGCTGAGGGGTGTATTTGACGTGGGTGGCGACGATGGGGATGATGGAGACGATGGTGACGGGCAGAGATTGTATTTCCGGGGAAGAGAGATTAGGGATCTGGATGTGGGAACGAGGGCGGTCGGGGCGAGTCCGAAGCCCCACGAGTATTGGAAGGTGAGGTTCAAGGATCCGCAGGCGCCGGTGCCGATGGAGGCGGACAAGTGGGAGGGAATGAGGGGCCAGGAGAGAGCTGAGATCGAGAAGATGGCGAGAGAGGCTGGCTGTGAGTTCACCCTCTGACCTCAACTACTGCCAGAGGGGGCGCGTCGTTGATCGAAATATGTGACTAACGCGAGCTATAGTGAAACTGTCCGACTTCGTGAAGGAGAGAGACCTATACCCCGCCGCGCCGGCCGCTCCAGACCCCAACAAAAAGCCGCGGAAGCCTCCACAAAAGGAGGGCGAGTATAGCCAGAGTGTTAACTCGTCTGAGGTGTCCTATGACGAGTCTGAAAAGGGCGACAACAATGGCGACTACGACGATGACGACGACAGCGATAACCTTCTCTCTACCAAAGAGCTGGAGTCTTTGGCGAGAGATGACTTGGCGGCTCAGCAATTGCAACGAGAGGCCTTGGGGAGCCAGCCCGTGGGCAGACAGCTCAACAGCCTGTTCGACTCGGAGTTCTCTGAGTCGAAAGACAGTAAAAACGGCACGTACCAGCCTCCATCAGCACACGACGGGAAGGATGACGAGGACGACGACGAGGACGGCGAGCCTCTAGCACGCCCCGGGAGACGTCGATCACCTCGGCTTCAGAAACCTAGATCGTCAAAGGAAGCGGACGACCCGTCTACGTCAATGAAAGACGACGACGGCACCTACAAGCCCCCATCAGCCAAGGACACAAACGAGGATTTGTTGGATGATGACGACTCAGCGCCTCGAGATCGTTTGAAGACTCCACCACGGCGGAAGAGTCGATCGCCACGTCAAGCGAACACGCCAACGAGCAAGTCGAGTCCAACACCACAACTTGACGTCGTGAGCGCGGTGGATACGAACACCGACGGCTTGGAAGAAGATGAGGCGTCGATGTCGCAGGATTCCGACCACGAGTCCGAGCAGAAGCAGTCTAGCAAGCCGGAGTCACCACAGCAGCCTCATGAACCTGCTGACGACCCTTGGGCATATCTAGGCGACGTTGGAGCCACTACAGAAGAAGAGGCTCGTAATTTCAACAGCTCCGACTGGGCGACCCCGAGCGTGGGATGGTCGACCATTGAGGACTATTTAGGCCATCGCAGCACGCCCAACGCCTCATTCTCCTCCGATCCAGGCGACTCTGATGCTATAGAGTCCTATCTCGCCCAAACACACGCTTTCCTCCTCGCGCAGATCAAGGCTAGGAACATCAAGCTCGAGAAGGGTGAAAAGAGGAAGAAAGAGGTGTTTGCGAAGAAGTTGCGGGAGGCGGACGTTGCTGCGTGGGCTGAGAAGAGAGCTAAGGCGAGTGAGGCAAAGAAGTTGCGGGACGCGGGCTTTGCTGAGCGGGTGATGAAAGCGAGGCAGGAGAGGCAGAAGGAGGAGCAAACGAAGAGGAAGCGGACAGCGGAGGACGAGGATGACGGGGACGCGGATCAGGCTGCTGACGGTAGTGGGTCTGTGGATGGGTACGGGCCACGCAAGACGACGAACAAGAAGGTTCTGAAGAAGGCGAGGAAGACCGATGAGGACGTTGCAAGCCAAGCCGGTGACAAGAAAACAGTGAAGAAGGCGAAGAAGACAGATGCGGACGGGACAAGTAAGACCAGTGACAAGAAGGTGGTCAAGAAGGCGAAGAAGACGAAAATGATGAGCAAGGAAGAGAAAAAGACCAAAGCGCGGCAATGGAAGAAGCTGGCGAAGAAGGCAAAGAAGAAGAAGCAGACAAACGCCAGACCATCCAAGAAGACGGACACTCAGGGAACGAGCGGTGCAGCGACGGTCGCAGCGGCGATAACTTCGCCGAGAAAGCCGCGGAACAGACGCGTCCTGGACACGGAGGACTGAGAGTTGAATCTTTCTGGTGTCACCGGTACGCAGTGGGGAGATGGCTGTAGGATAATTGCTAGAAGCGTGTAAAGCGATGCTCAAAGAGGTACCTACCTCTGTCTACCCGGAGGTCTCAATAGACTTTACAAGGTTAATGCGTTGCGATGAAGTAGGACGGGAGTTTCACGTAACCGGTTGACGCTTTTAGCTCGCTAGCCGTTCGGTCATACAGCTTTCCCAGTATGTTGTGCGACGAATCGCCTTCAGCGGTCAGCGGTCTTCAGCACACGATGTACGCTTGGTGCTATACGGTCTGCTATGTGTGACAGAGTTGGTCAGATCTACCCCTCTCGCATTTATACCTGCATGTAGTCCGTATTTTAAGGTACGAGGATGACCCTGCCTCGGTTAGACATCGAATGGACACGGAGGGGGATGTGCTGACTCGTTGTTCTTGGGGTCATCTTTTAGTCTACATCGCTATATACGGTGTCAATGTCCCGAACAGTCAAGGCGGACAAGATGTAGACCTACAATATCAGTGGCATTGGAGACAGTTTCTAAGGCTGGACGTGCTTCTTCGATAAGACAGAGACCGGAGCACTGAAGGCACAACACCAGCCACAGTACCGGCGACATCAACGATGAGCCCCCTCATCGACTACGTCGTCTTCGCTGGATGGATATGGATCTACGTGGTCGCTACAGTCGTCACCATCTTTCTTCTAAAGTGCATCTACAACCTCTCTCCCCTACACCCCCTGCACACCTACCCCGGGCCCCGCCTCTGGCGCGCCTCCCGCATCTTCGCCTCCCTCCACCACGCCCGCGGCGACCTCTACCAACAAATCGCCCGCTTCCACGCACGGCATGGCCCAACCGTCCGCATCGCGCCCAGCGAGCTCTCCTTCACTGACCCAGCTGCCTGGGGCACAATATACAACTCCCGCCCTCAACTGCAGAAATCCAAATTCCATTTCGGCGAGAGCGGCGATCGGAGTAAACTGCCGGATAGCATGATCGTCGCCACTGACTCCGAGCACATGCGCCTCCGCCGCCTAGTCAGCCCGGCCTTCCTGGGCAGCGCGCTGATGGACGTCGAGCCTGTCCTGCAGCGGTATTCTGACTTGCTTTGCCACACCTTGGAAACGAAACGGGGCCAGGCGGTGAATATGGTCGAGTACTTCCTCTGGACGCTCAACGATGTGATTGGGCAGCTGGCGCTGGATACGGAGTTTCAGTGTTTGGAGAAGGAGAGGATGCATCCCTGGCCTAGCTTTCTGATGAAGATATTGAAGCAGACGGCTTTCTTCAATCAGTTGAAGCGGTTTGGGTTCTCGTTGAAGTTGTTGGGACCCTTTCTGCCGAAACGGGTGATCGAGGAGAGGGATGGGTTCTTCTCGACGGCGCAGAACGCGGTTAGCGAACGCCTGGCGAGGGAGGATGTGGAAAGTGAGAAATGGCAGGGGAACACAACTGTGCAGGGAAGTGAACGACCGGATATCATTGGGCTGATGTTGAGAGAGATGAAGGGGAGGAAGGGGGCGGATCATCAGGATAAGATGACGGAGCCGGAGATCTTGAGTAATTCGATATTGATTGTGGGCGGTGGGGCGGAGACGACGTCGACGTGTTTGTCCGCGACGCTGTATCATCTGTGTAGAACGCCACGGGTGATGGGGCGATTACAGGAGGAGTTGAGGGGGAGGTTTGGGAGTTTGGAGGAGATCACGATTAAGGCGACGGCGGATATGGCGTATTTGAGGGCGACGGTTGATGAAAGTTTGAGGATCTTTCCGGTCGCGAGCTATATCAATCCGAGGGTTGTTGGGAAGGGTGGAGTTGTGCTTGATGGGAACGTCGTTCCTGAGGGGGTGAGACTCTGCTTCCGTTGCGCCTTGGTTGGGTCCGAGTCGGGCTGATACTGACGTGTGCACAGACCCACGTATCGATGGCTCAATGGTATTTGGGTGGCTCAGAACGGTTCTTCGACAACCCCAAAGAGTTCCGTCCCGAGCGTTGGCTATCAGAGAGTGATGAGGGCGGTCTCAGAGGTGGAGCGCATCATGTCGAAGGCACGGACAGGCATATGATGGACGAGGTGCTGAAGCCGTTCAGTCTCGGCCCCAGAAACTGCATCGGCAAGCTGTAGGTGATTTTCCATCGTGTGGCCTAGCAGCAACTGACCCGTGGGCATTAGACTGGCAATCGCTGAAGCACGACTCGTGACAGCGAAGCTACTGTGGAAGTTCGATATCGAGCTAGATGGCCCGCAAGATGGCTGGGTAGACGGTGCGAGGTTCTATGTGAGTGATCGTTCCCGTGCTTTGAGACGGGCCCCAAAAGCTTACCGATACACAGATATTGTGGGAGCTTGAGCCTCTGATGGTGAAACTGAAGGCTGTGCGGTAAGAGCAAGTCGTCGTCGTCCGAGATGACAGGGTCCCTGCAAGTGAGGCCGGCTTGCATGAGGCAGATGAACTCGCAGGCGATGCCTTCGAAGCACAGCAAACGAAAGGCATTTGCAGACTTCTTGCAAGACTACGCAAGGAGAGTATGGCGGCAAACGTGTCGGCTGCCAGCTAGGAATACATAGTGATCACAATTTAGACACTTGAATGACGGGATGAAATAGAATAGCTGTTCAAATTGCTCTGTAATGCGTCCTACTGCTTTGCAGAGGAGGCATCTCGTGGCTATCAAGTCGTTCAATCAATGCCACGTTGCACCAATGCAACCCCTCGGAGACACAATAAGCTACTCTCGCAGTCATGCATCCCTGAACGTTGTCAACTACTTCCCATCCCATAGACGTAGCCTGAGCTATACTGTATCACGCTCGGATGTGAAGACCATGCCACCATTGCGCCTCATCAAACCGTGACGAGCATCGGAGTGCAGCCGTCGAGGCCAGACCCGAGGGTCACGGCAGCACTGTCAATCGGGACAGTACCTTTTGTGACGCCAGACGCCCCCATTCATTTTGCTGTACACGGACACAGCCAATCATTCTGTATGCGTCGAAGTGTCGAATATTATCTGTCGTTTTGAATAAAAGGAGAATCATTTACAAATTGTTGAGTTCCTGAGGATGATCATACGGAGCTGGCGTAGTTCGGCTGTGGAAGTCGTCTCAGCGCATAGAGCGACGATGGACTTATCGAACTTAGAATCAGCCTTTTCTTGGCAGGCACCAGGAAGCTTGCGACAACCGCTCGAGAAGCGCTGTGCTGAGCGTTGTTGTTAATCGTGGGCTGTAATTGTTCAGATGAGGCAAAGAAGACTCGCAAATGTTGCCTCCTGGCACCGTGTTCGCGGCCTTGAATCCACTCAGCGCGACTCAGGGCTGAGAAGCTCAGCTGGACTTGAACGTAGACTGTTCAGTTGCTGAGGACTTTCCGGGTCATTCTCCCCACAGAATACTTACTGCGTGGAAGCTTCGAGAGCGCTGGAAGTAAGGACATGGTGTTTAGCGATAACTTGTTACGACCGTTGCATTGCTGCCTGCATTCCACCGTTCATGTTGCCCATGCCGTATGGGTTGGCATGAACGTTGAACTGGTTAGGATCCTGCATGCCGTTCAAAAATTGTCCGAGGCCCTGCTGATGACCTACGCTGCAATCTTTATGACTCAGTAGAAGAGTTCGCAAGTTGCGCACCTCTTCGTGCAGTTGGCCGACCTGCTGTGTCAGACTCTCGTTCTCAGCTGAGTACATCTCGACCTTGGCTTGGAGGTTGGCAAGCCATTGCTTCTTCCGCTGACGACATTTAAGTGCAGCGACACTACCGATAATTAGCACATGTCAAAGCCGAGGGGTCGAGAAGTCTTACCGATTGCGTTCCAGGAAGTTGCGGCGTTTCTCCTCGTCCGTCATTTTGGACTTTCCTGAGGTTTGTCCGCCCATATCATCATCGCCCATCATGTCGTCGTCGTCATCGTCTTCATCGAAGTCCTCTTCCTTGGCGAGAGCAGGATCAACATTGACGTGACCATTGTTGCCTTTCGATCGCTTGTTGCTAGCCTTTGTTGTTGCCTCGGACTTTCGACGAGCAGGTGTCTCTGTCTTGACAGTGGCCTTCTTACCCCGTCCTCGAGTCGTTGGGGTGTCATCGGGGCTTTCACCGTCGCCGTTGGCACTGACACTACCTGAGCCAGGCGCGGGCCGACCGCTGCTCCGTGTTTGCATTTGTTGTGAGTTCGAGTTCTGTGTGTATTGGCCGTTCGCTTGTGCGCCTTTAGCGAGCATGAACAAGCCGTTAGCAGCGTCAGTGGCGTCGTGTTGAGCGTCCATGTTCGAGGACTCCTGAGGATTGGAAGTCGTGGCCGTCTGAGTATTCTTGCGCTGAGCAGCGGCGTTCAGAGCAGTTCGGTGAAAGTCCAAGGTACCAGGTGTCGCACTACCACTTTGGAATGGATATAGAGATGAGCCCGGGCTTGGGGCAGGGAACATAGACAGGCTGCCGCCTGGTGTAAGACCTGTCCGTAGTGAGGACTCGTTAGGAGTCGGTAAGCCGCCACCTCCTCTGTAACCGAAGTAGTCTCCTCCAGCCGGACCCTGGAGCATAGCAGGGCTCAGAGGCCCGGTTCTTAGCGATTGACCAGCTTGCGCCCAACTATACCCTCCTCCCGTGGTCGTGCCTGGGATTGCAGGCGATGTGAGAGCCGCGATGCCAGGTAGTTGGGCCTTGCCTGGCGTTTCTGACGACGGCGCGCCAAAGGATGACTCGAATGGATTGAATTCGCCTGAGATGCCGGCGGAAGGATTGTGCAAGCCCGAGAAATAGTCTGGTGTCTCGGCTGGGTTGGATGGTTTTGGCGGAGGCGCGAGTGGTTCGGTGACGGTCACTGCGGGCTTCGTATCTTCGGCCTGCGAAGTCGATTTCGAGTCTGCGGCAACAGTGAGCGCGTGGCGTCGACAATGAATAAGAATGGCTACATACCTGGTATTGTCGACGGCTTCTGAGAAGGTGAGGTCTTGGTTGGCGACACTATGGCTTGATTAATAATTGTCGTCAGAGGAGAGACACTTGTTTCTTCTATGAAGGGCAATGAATGCGGCGCGGCAAGCGCATTGCACGTGGTGGTGAAGATGGGGCAGCTGAGTATCGAACGCACCTTCCTCTGTTTTGTTGTTGATGACCTTACTATCCATACGCGATGAGGTCCGTGATGGAGGACTTGCATCCATGGTATGTTGGATAGGTTGAGCAACCGCTGCAGATGCCATTAGTACCGAATGACGTAGGGTCCTTGTCCATAGAAGGTGCACTGGTAGAATGATGTGAAAGGGTTGTACAGCTCTACAACCACGAACAACGAGCTTGGCTGGTAGGCAAGGTGGCTTCGAGATGACGGAAGTGCTACGTCAGTAAGAGCGGACGCACAGTGTGTTATAAGGGGGCGGCAGACGCGAGTAGAGCGAAAACGCATTTCCAGAGGCCATTGAAAGAGCCGAAGCAGTCGCCACACGGGTGGACCAATGGTAGAAGACAATACCCATTAAACTCATCAACTAGCGCAGATGGATCTCCTGTAAACGTCACCCAGATCGTGGTCTGACGGAGAGATCTCACCTTTTCCTCACTGTAGTCTTTCTTGCATTTCTCAGCGTCGATCCCCTCACTCGGGCTTCTGATCCGGCTCATTGTTGCTACTTGAGGGGGTATATACAGTATGGTGAGATCCGAGTCGTCTCGCGAGTGACTGCGTAAGCAGCACCCGAGGTCCAGTCCAGTGGATGTATTCAATCGACATTGTGAAGGATGCAGTCTTTGTTTGCAGCTGTCAGAGTCTCGAGTAGGGGGAGTGGCTGCGTCCGGAATGAGTCGCAGTCAAAATTTGTCTTTGTTTCCTCGAGTGGCACTCGAGAATACAGCAGTCCAAATCTGCATTATTTATGAGGATTTCTAGCAGGTAGAAAGGTACTCAAAGGTACTCAGGTGCGCCTTATTGGCCAGGCCTCGGGTTTAGCTGGGAGTCCATATATGGTTCTGTGGTGACCACGAACTTACATCACGCAGTTTGCGTGTACCTGAGTGCACCCTCTGAACTGTACCCAAGTAGGCGGTAACAAGTACTCGAGTAGGCAGCGAATTTCAATGCAAACATCGATATGGCTACCACTATGCTCTCAACGTTTGATTTGGTATTACAGAGCTTCAGCTCTATGCTTATCGCGCAGGCAAGATTCGGAGCCACTGTCTGGACAACGCAGTACATGTATCCCAGGGAAGGCCAAGCATCGATATTTGCGCTCATAAATGCGCTCAACGAACGAGCACACTTGTCTTTGGGCACGGCAACCTCAATAATAGACCGCGGCGTCACATGTCAATCTTTTTGTAGTCAAGAGAAGCCCGATTCTGGCTCAAGAGACCGAGCTCAGCAGGCGCATTCGTTCCCCATGAGCGCGATACCATCTGCCCGAAAGCGCCTACACAGCCACGGAGTCGTCGTTTTGAATGCTCTTTTGCATAAGACATCCGGCGTGGTGTTTGAGCCAATTCTCCCAGTAGCCTCATCCTGATGACTCCCCGTGGACCCATGAGCGCCGAGCGATGCGGTCTAGAAGTGATTTTGCCCATCCATGCAAAACTATGGCAGCCGAAAGAGCTCCTCTACCATGACTTCAACTCATTTATAGAAGTCGAATTTGTCAGCTTCTTGTGCCCCCTTGACCTGACTCGAATATGCGTCTTCTAGATCGGACTGAATAATGTTGTACCGGTTCTTCCTCACTGCGCGCAGACCTGCCTCCTGCATGATCGCGGCAATGATAGCTCCAGACAGTGGGTCGTTCCGGACGATGAGCGAATCCAGATCGACCTCAGGCGATAGAGACATCTTGCTAGCAATCGTTGAGAAGATCAATCTCCGCTCACGGCGATCGCGCAGAGATGGAAATTCGATCTTTCGATCCAATCGACCAGGTCGGAGTAGAGCCGGGTCTAGAGTGTCTGCTCTGTTGGTTGCCATGATGACTTTGACATTTGCTGTTTGATCGAAACCGTCCATCTGGTTCAGCAGCTCGAGCAGGATGCGCTGCACTTCTCGGTCGGCACCGGTCTGCGCATCAAATCGTTTCGTGGCAATCGCATCAATTTCGTCAATGAAGATGATCGCCGGTGAGTTCTCTCGCGCCATCCTGAACACGTCTCGCACCATGCGTGGGCCTTCTCCAAGGTATTTCTGTACGAATTCTGACCCGACGACACGGATGAAACTTGCTGTGGTGCTGTTGGCAACAGCCTTGACCAGCATGGTCTTCCCAGTTCCTGGTGGTCCGTACAGAAGCACGCCACGGGGCGGATCAATACCAATCTGCTTGTAAAGGTCGAAATGTGTCAGAGGGAGCTCGACGGCTTCCCGGATCTCCTGCTTCTGCATGTCCAGACCACCAACATCAGCATACGTAACATCAGGCTTCTCGTCTGCTCCTAGCATGGCTATTGAGGAATCGGCCTCGGGAGGCAGAATGTCGACAAGGGAATTAGAATGCCGATGTAGTGCGACAGATGATGATGGCTTCAATTTCTCGCGATCGAGTGTGGACAGAATGCGGACGACGTAGTTCGAGCCGGTGGAGGATTGAACGATGCCAGTACTGCGTGCGGTCAGAAGTTGGCTCCTAGTCTGTCAGGATGCTTACTTCTGATCAATGGCCTCCATGAATTGACCGATGACCAACGGCACGCTCTGTATCCTCTTGATCTCTTCCTGGGCTCGTACAAGCTCCCGCTTGAGCGATCTGAGACACTTTAGCATGCAGAAACCAAGAGTAGTCAGCTGCTTACCTCTGCTCATCTTTGATGTATTCCTCTTGAAGTTTGATGTATCTGTACATCCGTCAGTCATGTCCGCAAGAACAACTATACGACGTCTCGTACTCTAGATGCCGCTGTAACCTCTTGAGCGTGGAATATTCGTCTTCGCCATTTGCCCCAACGCCTTCAAAGGAGTCAATCTCTGGCATAGAATCCACTGGGAAGGCCTTCTTGTGAGGCGGCAGTATGTTTGCAGGATTCTCGACTGCAGCGTCCGCCATCTTGAGAGACCGTTCGGGTGGAAGAAGAGCAGATTCACGGTCGAGCTTATGCTAGTGCCGTGACCGCCGCTAGATATCGAACGATGGACAGCCGGTGAATGAGGGCGATGAGAGATTGATGATTGTATGCAATGGCGACTTTTGAAGGCATTCGCAGGGTGTCGCGTCTGCGCTCCGAGCCGATGATTCAAGTTCTGACTAAGTCGCTTTGGGCATAGCTTCTTCAATGCGCCGTTACGGAGCTTCTGCCCCGGCCGCCATGCGCTCACTGCCTTTCTTTCTTCTCTCACTTATGTCAGGGCTATAATTTAATGACCAAAATGATTCAGATCGCTCCTTGTTACGGCGGGCTTTGAAAGAACAGGTCTTCCGAGCAAGGCATCAAGCTGTGATAGTGGCTATAAGGCCTGCCCGAATTTGATGTTGACGCCCAATAATTATCACGAGCAAAGTTGACCTACACAGTGGACTTGCCTGAGGGATCTCGATTGCTTCCATACATTTTTGAAGGCCGAGAAAGGGTGCTATTCATCATTGATCGTGAGATCAGTCAGTGACCTGGCTGGAGTGAGAGTTTGGCTGTCGCAACGACGGCGATTTCCAACATGAGACCAGTGGAAGCGGCAGGAGAGTCGCTAAAGCGTGGGCAGGTGCGAAGTCGTGCGGGCTCACTTTTCGATCCAAACGGAAGGAGCCAAAGCACATAGTGAATCGATTTTATTTTTGCTCAGCAAATGCCATAAGCCGATTTGAATCAGCAGCGTCCACCCGGGTGTGTCACATTGATTTTCGTGCCTGGACCATCCTGCGTCTGCTGCATACCCAAATATTGAAGCACGCACTAGTAAACAGCAGGGTTGCCGAACCAGCTCGAATCCGCCCGCCTAGTGAGAGACTTTCTCAACATGGCCAGTTCATCTTACCTCAAATCTGGCGTGCTTGTTCTTCCTCTTCTCAGTATATCTGATGTTCTCGCCGCAGACCAATGTTGTTGCATACTCGGCACCGCATATTTGATATGGCAACACAGTCACGATCCCGATTCATGACTCCATCGGACCATGGTCCGCATCTATTTTACGTCTCAATTTGGCCCAACTTCACCCATAATTACGACACAGATTAGAGGGAAATCGACACAAAGTCCCTCCTAAGCAAAACCCACACCATCTATTCCCATCATGCGATTGTGTTCGATCATGGTCGTATCGCAAGATGAGAAACCAGTCGCTCGACGAAGTATTCGGAGAATACTCCAACCTGATTCAATTTCTTACAAATGACACGATTGTTCAACGGGTGCGACCAGGAATTCAGGGGAGCCGATTAATGTGCAATTGAAGCAATGGATTGAACAAATACTGTATGTCCACGTCCGCACATCAGCACAGAAGCGACAAAATCTCGAAGTCCAGCACAGACAGCGTGGCAGCCACTGATCAAGGAACAAACACTGATCACAAGCCTCCGTGTCATGGTCGAATAGGGTCGCACCAGCGCTCAACTAAGTCTAGTCCGGCCCGGATGTTCGTCAGAAACAGCTGTCTGGGCCATAGCGAAGCCCATCGACAGCGCGAAAATGCACGGTAACCTCTCGGCCCAGTCCCTGAAGATGCCCAGAATCATCCAGCCCCTACAACGGACTGAACAAACCGAGCACAGACGAAGCGCGCCTGCAATAATGAGACCAAAAAGTGTGAGTGAATCATGCATGATTCGAGGGTGACGAAAGCTGACCAAAGGCAGAGCAGCATTTTCAGGGTGTGCGGGTCACTGCAAAACCGGGCGCTCGAGAGACTCAGCTTCTCTCATTTCCTGCCCCCGCCTTTCTGCTTGCACTGAAGCCTGGCTGTCGTTACCATTATTGATTGTTTCGCATCCAATCTTCTGGAGTCTGCACGGCTTTTGCCCGCTAAAATAATAAGGTAAGCATACTCTATCTCTGACTCAAGTCATTCGATATCCGCCCAAGGCCCATGCACTGGTCGGATAACAGGTGGCCCCTCTCATCTGATGAGTCGCATATCGCTCAGCCGCGATATCGCTGGCCACGACTCACCGTGCTTCTGGGGATGACATCCGCACATGCCCTGCCGTGCATTCCACCTTCCAGATCGCGATCATTCGTACTCCTAGCGTTGACTAACTTCTTATCAGATCTGTTACACGGCACTTGTGCCGCCCCAAGCGTGGATCTCGTCTCCTCGCTGGATTTTCGCTCGGAGGCCTTCAGAGCGCTAAGCCCAATTAGGCGCAGGCACTCTCACACTCCCAAGTTCTGCCGTTGTCCTGCGAATCGAGTGATCTCGTACGCGCAGACAATCGGCTCGACATCGCCTTGCAGGTAAGCTTGTCTCCATTGCCCTTGTACCTCATCGCTGTCGCCAGTGAATGATCACTGGTTCTGTCCTGTCTTTGGTCGAAGCATTTCCCCATCCCCTTAAACAGCTTACCCAACGCGTCACGCTTCGTTCGATCGCTTCCCATACACATCGCGTCCCCTCAAACACGGTTTTCTGTGCCCTGGTGGACCGAGCTTGATCGCAAGAATTGTTTTTCGACGCCATTGTCACCGTCACCGATGGCCCGATGCATGCGCTGATGAAACCAGATCAGTTAGTCCCATGGACTGCCGACCCAGCTTCAAGTCATGAACCAGTGGTTTGACTCCCCTGCCAATCCCAACGGTCATGCTGGCATCGGAACATATCCTGATGCTTCGATGTCGTTCGTGCAACCCGCTCAGACAATAAATCCTGCGCAATTCCAGAATCCGGCATACCTCAACGGCGATGGTCGAACCGCTTCCCCAGGTTTTCACAACCCTGGATATCAGACGAATCCCATAATACCATCAAAACGAGCAAGAGAAGAGAGCATAAGCGCATCACCACGTCAAGCACCTGGAGGACTGCCTGGCTCTAGATCCCAAACACCAGGTCAAGGCTTGTACCCTGGATACAATCAGGCGAATGGCGGTGGATCGATACCAAACGCGCCGACTCCGTTCCAGCACTTGCAAACTTCAAACAATCCCTCGCCGTCGCCAACGATACCACAGATGAATTTTAATCAGGGCGGGCCGGCTCAGCGGTCGACTGTGTCGCCGTCGCCCTTTTCTCCACAACAGCCGGGTCCGCATCCTTCACCAGGCCCATCCGACCATGCAAGCCGAGGAGGCACGCCGCACGACAATGCGCAAAATTTTATGCAGAACCCGGCTTTCGGCGCCGGCTTTGCGCAACAGCAGCTTAACCCGGGAATGGCGAACGGCATGAATCCGATGATGATGAATGCGCAGATGATGGCACAACAGAATATGAGCATGAATCCGGCGCAACGGAATTATCACATGCAACTCCAAGCGCAAGCCCGTCAGCTCTCGCAGGCACGTCAACAACAAGGGATGCAAGCCATGGCGTCTCAGCAAGTTCCCGATGCGATGGCACAGATGCAGCAAGGCATGGTCCAGCAAAAACCCAAGAATCCGGAGGAGTTCACGCGTAACTTGCAGGCCTATATGGCTGCGCGTGGCAGGTCGGTAAACTTGACGCCAACGATCTGCGGACGGCCGATCATGCTAGTACAGCTCTACGCCGCTGTCGTGAAGAATGGTGGATCACAGAGGATAGCGAAACTAGGGCAATGGATGGTAGTCGCCGCACAACTGGGTTTCCCGCCGCAACAGCAACAGCAAGCTGCTCAAGAGCTACACAACTATTGGATAAGCAACTTCCTGAATCTATACGAGAATGCCTGGCAAATGCAGCAGCAAAAACAGAGAATGGCTCAGGCACAGATGCAAGGTCAAGCAGGAGCACAGATGTCTCCTACCAGGGACCAGCATGCTGTTCAAGACCCTTCACAACCTGGTCATCAACGGCAACAGTCGGACATGATGAATCCCAAACTCGCCAACCAGCTACAGAATGGATTCATGCCGTCGACACCTCAAGTTCAGGCTACCCCTCAGCATCGATCGAGTCTGTCGAGACAATTTGATCCTTCACAGGTCCCGAATGCTTCGCCACAAAGAGCTCAGCAAGGAGAGGTAGCGGTGAAGGCCGAGCCAGAAGGAAACATGCCACCCAAAAAGCCAATAGTTGATCCTTTCGTGCCGGAAGTGTTACCAGCGAGCAAGTACCATGGGCCCATCAACATCGAAGAGATTTCCACGTTAGGTCAAGGAATATCGGATCTGAAACCGACAGCGCCAGCTTTCCGCGAGCTGGGCGTGATCGATATTCATGCCCTGACGATGGCCATCAAATCCGGAATGCATGCCGAGACCCGAGTTGCTCTGGACACGCTTGTAACGTTATCGACAGAACCACAGCTTCAGCTGTCTCTGACCGAATGCGACGATCTGATGGACACACTCGTCGATTGTGCGCAAGATCAGGTCGACTTTCTGTCTGAGCATTCGCCTGAAGTCTCGGACGAGATGTCGTTGATACCTTACGAGGATCTGGTACGCGGGTGCAGAGCCGATATCGAGCAGCTGCAGGACGTACCAGAATTTGGAACCGTCGAATACGATCTGGATCGTGCAGCCGACCGCCTCATCTGTATAACAACACTTATTCGCAACTTCTCATTCTCCGAGGCTAACTTCATCGTGCTCGGCCAACCCGAGATTTTAAAAATGATCAGCACGGTCATCCGGTTTCTTGGCACAAGGGAGAACATCCTCCGAAACAGTCGCAACACACTCGATTTCATGAAGGACGTGGTGATTTACCTCAGCAATCTCTCAACGTCAGTCAATATACCCGGCAAGGAAGAAGCGCTTTGCCTGCTTCATTTCCTGCTCGCCTTCGCACCATGTCCAGCACCAATCGTCGCATCAACCGGCCGAGTCTGCTTCACAAGCTACAACCCAAACATCCACAAATACATGCCCTCGGCAATCGACAGCCTGGCTAAGCTCCTAGCTCGAGACGAACCGAATCGGACGTACTACAAAGCCATCTTCGCCGCCGACGCAGGCTCATCCCCACCCTACGAACTCCTCACCCGAACCTTCGGCCTCGCCATCGCCGCCGTTCCCGGTAGCGCGAGAGACACCCGTGCCCTAATCGAAGCCCGCAAACCATTTCTCTTACAGGGCATGCTGGCCGCCGAAATCGTCGCGGGCCTTGCACCTACCTCCGAGAACCCCCTCGCACGGTCCTGGCTCGAATCAGAGGACGGCTTCGCCATCAACCTCTTGCGGCTCGTCATGTCCCTCAGCGCAGACAAATCGACGCAAATGGCCAGCAACCATCTCCATCATCCTCCCCCACAAATGCCTCATGGACGGCATCAACGTCCACCGGAGCCCGACGCGAACGCGTACGGCGCGATAACAGCACGAGCAGTGGCGGTGTTGAAAGCGCTGGTGCAGAAGAGTCGGACCTTTGATCCTGAGGGTGGTGCGGTGGCGGTGCCTGCTGGAGTGATGCCACGAAAAGAAAAGATGCTGGGAGCGATGGTGGAGAAGGACATCGACCAGGGGATCTTGAGATTGTTGTGTGTTTATGCTGGTCTTGAGGACTAGGCGTCCGAAGCGAGCGGGGAGCGAAGGTTAGCGTTGGCAGGGCTCTGGGTATAGCATCCGTCCACCGGACTGGAAGCCCCCGAGCGAACGCAGTGGGCACGGAACGACAGTCTGCATCGAGTGCAGGCAAGCGAAGGTGAACCAATGTGCCGCAGGCGGGCAGGCGCGTGGAAGTGAACGCGCACTTTGCGCAGCAGAGGGCGAGGAAGGGAGCCAGTAGTGACTATAGCGAATTTGAATGATTCTGCTGTTCTGGAATACATGCCTCTCACCAATTTTGCAGAGCTGCCCGCGTTCGTATGGCTACTCTACATCCAAGGATCAAGCGCATGACCTCGAAATCATCTGCCGGCCAACATGGCCGGTCTGGGTTTGCCCTTCGCGATGTTGCGCACCGCCGGTCAAGGGCAAAGAGGTAGTAACACAGCGGCGAGGAACAATGCCGGCCCGGCTGGCCAACGAAACAACAACAACAACCAAGGGTCCGGCAGAG